TGAAAGATCTCTACAATGAAAACTGTAAAACACTGATGAAAGAAATTAAAGAGGACACACACAAAAATGGAAAGATATTCCATGCTCACGGATTGGTAGAATTAATGTTGTGAAAATGTCCATGCTACCAAAGTAATCTACAGAATCAACACAATCCCTATCAAATTACCAATGACTGTCTTCACAGAACAGAAAAAGAAATTCTAACATTGATATGGGACAACAAAAGATCTCAAATAGCCAAAGTAATCCAAAGCAAAAGGATATAGTGGGAGGCATTAAACTATCTGACTTCAAAATATACTACACAAAGTTATAGTAACCAAAACAGGATGGTACTGGCATAAAAACAGACACTTGGACAACAGAATAGAATAGAAAGCCCAGAAATAAATCCACATACTTACAGCCAATTGATCTTTGATAAAGGTGCTAAAAACACACACTGGTGAAGGGACAGCCTCTTGAATAAATGGTGCTGGGAAAACTGGATATTCATGTGTAGAAGGATGAAACTAGACCCCCTATCTCTTACCATATACAAAAATCAGCTAAAAATATATTAAAGACTTCAACATAAGACCTGAAACTATAAAACTTCTAGAAGAAAACATAGGGGAAGTGCATCAGGACATAGGGCTAGGCAAAGATTTTATGAATAAGAGCTCAAAAGTGCAGGAAACAAAAGCAAAAATAAACAAACAGCATTATACTAAAAAGCTTCTGCACAGCAAAGGAAACAATCAACAGAGCAAAGAGACAACCTACAAAATGGGAGAAAATATTTGCAAACTATGCATCCTACTAGGGGCTGATTTCCAGAATATGCAAGGAACTCAAACAACTCAATTTAAAAATGGGCAAGAGAGCTCAATTAACATTTCTCAAATAAAGACATACAAATGACTAACAGGTATACGAAAAAATGCTCAACATCACTAATCACCAGGGAAATGCAAATTGAAACCACAATGAGACTTATACCAGCTCTTATTGAATAGACGTAAAATAGCAAATGCTGGTGGAGATGTGGAGAGAGGGAAGCCCTGACACGTTGTTGGTGGGACTGTAAATTAGTACACCTATTTGGAAAACAATATTGAGTTTTCTCAAACAACTACAGATAGAACTACCATATGACCCTTCAATCCCACTACTGGGTATATACCCAAAGGAATGCAAATCATCATGTCAAAGGGATACCTGCACCCCCATGTTTATTGCACTTCTATTTACAATAGCCAAGATATGGAACCAACCTAAATGTCCATCAACAGATGATTGAATAAAGAAAATGTGGTACATATACACTACTCAGTCATATAAAAAGAATGAAATTCTGCCATTCACAGCAACATGGATGAGATTGGAGAAAATTACGTTAGTGAAATAAGCCAGGCACAGAAAGAGAAATACTGCTTGTTCTCATATGTGGGAGCTAAAAAAAAAAAAAGAGAGAGAGAGAGAACAAAACAAAACAAACAAAACCAAATAACTATAATAAGTTGAATTGTTAAAATGAAAGAGAACTATGGTTACTAGAGGCAGGAAAGGGGAGGGGGAGGAGAGATAGCGAAAGGCTGATTAATGGACACAAAAGGAAAGTGAGATAGGAAAAATAAGTCCTACTGGTGCACAGTCGATCCAGAAATCTATAATCAATAATGTATTACTGCATGTAATCAAACCACCACGAGAGAGGATATCAAATGTGCACATCACAAAGCAATGATTAAGTTTTGCAATGATGAATAGGCTAATTACCCTGAGTAGATCAGCACACATTGTTTACATGTATTGAAATATAACTTTTTATCCCATAAATACATACAATCAATATGTTTCAATAAAATATTTTTTAAAAACTGAAAGGCTGCACTTTAATCAATTTAAATATAGGAGAATATATCTAAAACCTCATAATGGAAACAGTATTAACTATGAAGTTCGTATTCATTTTTCATTTCTGCCATAATTAACCATAAATTTTGTTACTTAAGACAACAGCCATTTTTATCTCAAAGTACAAAAGTTTGAGTCCTCTATTTAGATTCTCACAAGGCTGATATCAAGGTGTTGGCAGGGCTGCATTTCTTTCCAGAAGCTCTGGGGATGAATCCTCTTCCAAACTCATTCAAGTTGTTGGCAGAATATAGTTGTTTTTTTTAACTTTGTAGGACTGAGGTCCCTACTTCTTTGCTGGTTGTTAGCCAAAGGTTGTTCTTTGCTCCTAGAAGTTGTGTTACATATATTTTCATGCTTTCCATGTGAAAACCTTCAGCGATGGCAGATTGAGACCCTGTTTATGACACTTCAAATCTCTCACTTCCCCTTTGGCTCCATCTCTCTGATTCCAGTTGGAGAAAGGTCTCTGCTTTTAAAGACTCATGTGATTAGATTGGGTCTACCTGAACAATACAGCATACACTACCTATCTTAAGATCAATAACTTTAAATTCATCTTCAAAGTCTCTTTTGCCATGTAATGTAACATACTCACAAGTTTCAGGGATTAGGACATGGATAACGTGGGGGCCCATAATTAAATTAAAAATAACGTATAAATAGTATGCATAGACATAACTATTTTTTTAATCAAGGAAATTATCAACAAAGGCAGCAGAACAGTAATTACCCTTGAAGGGAAGTGTGGAGAATGCAATCAGAGAATACACAGGGAGGATAAAGGTATTTGTAATAGTCCATTTCTTAAACTGCATGAGGAACCATGAATGTTTATTTAGTTATTAGTCTTCTTTAAATTTTAGATATACATTATATACACAACATGTGTCATAAGTTCCCAGCAAACTTTCAATGTTTAAAAACACAAAAATTTGAATATGAAATTCTTCAAAAAATTTAATAACCTGAATTCTTTCTTTACTCATGAATTTGTGAGTAGAGCCATAGATGAGAACAAATCAAGGAAGAGAAACAAGAAATGTGGGAGATGGAAGAATTGACAGAGTAAGGAAGGCCAAAACCCAAAATGTCTATCTCACAATTTGGGGACATTGAGGTAGTTAAAATTGATTCTTTCCTCTCCTTCCAGAGAGCAATCAGAAAATGGAGTTCAAAGGGGAGGGAAATCCAAATGACCTATAGACATCTGCCTCATTTCCTGAATTGAGTGCCACAGAAATGAGGTCTCTAGGTGTCTGGAGTCAAGTGAGATAAGATTAATACATGAGTAGTGTCCTGAATAGGTGCTAGAAAAACAAAGAAACAAAAAAAAACGAGAGAAAGAGAAATTTTACTTACTTTTCCACTTGCCTGGGACTCTGATGGGAAATGCTTTTGCTTTGGATACTTTGAGAATTACTTTGGTGATACCTCTGGAAAACTGCCATAGGTTTCCCCAATCTGCCCTACCATCTTCATACCAACTCAGTAGCATTGTATCCTAGTATGGAAAAGAAAGCACTGACCATGCTCTAGACAGCATATAGTGAATTACGGTAATCCAGGCTTTTCCCAAAGGATTTATATCATGGTTAACTCTTAGGCATTACCGTCCTCTTCTGTTATTTGGGTTGATATGTTATAGCAAATAAGTTGAGCTTCTTATTTCCCACAAAAGTTTACATGAACTGACTTGCAGACATTTTTCTAAAAAGAAGTGTTGCAATACTATGTTAACCTATGCTTTCATCAAAAAGAATAAATTGTGACATAAACCACTGCAACGACAATAAATCATTCCACTCCTAGGGGAAGTATTTTCCCTTCAAACCAGTGACAGGAGAAAGCAGAAATGGAACAGTGGCAGGCTTCTCTTTCATCTGTGCTCAAAACTAAGCTATTTACAAGGAAAACTTACTTGGATTCAATTTTCTGGTTAATTTTCTTTGCAACATGTGTAAAAGGAAGAGGAACTCTACTTTAAGTTCATTGTTGAGCAAGTTGGGATTGCTTAATAATTCTGATAACCTAATATTATCTTTAATAGACTTTGAAGCTGTAGACCTGGGAACCAGGGGTAAACGCATCTGGTAACTATAGTCTGTGAAATTCACGAAGTCATCCTGGATGCTTTTAACTCTGGAAATAAGAAATAAAATAAAATACTGTTGACGATTCACATTTTAGTAATGAAATTTACATTATCAAAGTTTTCACATTAAAATGTATTACTAGAAAATTCCAAATAACTCACTCTCGATGTGTTAATAAAGTGTAAAGGGAATACATTATTAAAATGTATTACTAGAAAATTCCAAATAACTCACTCTCGATGTGTTAATAAAGTGTAAACCTCTTCTATCAGTATCTCAGGTACTCCGGCTTTACAGTGAATTGTTCCGTGAATTAGTTCTTTAGGTAATTTAAGGTTTTTTCTTGCCAGGAACTTGAATAATAGAAAGAAAATATTTTTATCCTAAGAAGTTCTTCAAAATCTCCATCTACTATGAATTCACTTTAATCCCCCTTTATCTCTCAGCTAATTTTCTGAAGTTTAACACATTAATTATTAAAAGAAAATATTATTCAGCAAGAAAACCAACTGTTACATCCCATGCTAATTGAAATGAATAGCTCAGTTTCATAGGTGACTCATGACATAAACAATTGGAATTTAATAAACTTTATGATCCATGGGAACACCTGCCAACTCAGTAATGTTGTATCTAGCATATAGTCACACACACATACATGTAGATATCCAAGACAATGGGAGTGCACCTTTTAAAAGAAACCTCTCAACAGTTAAAAGTGTAAATGATTGCTAATTTACCTTCTCCAACTGTGCCCAGTTATCCAATTTGACTTTTATAGAAGTTCCATTTTCAAAGGATGATAATTTAAGGTCCCAGGGGTAATATATACAAAATATTTCTGCGATCAAGAAGCCATTTGAAAAATCCCTAATACATAATAATAAGGAAATGAAATAAAATGTGGTTAATTATACAGTTTGTGTCATTTTATAATTAACATCTATCTAATATTCCATACTGACAAAGTATCTCGTAAAATTCGTTTTATTGAATCATTGCTCCAAGAACCTACTATGGAATAGTATTTTGCTAAGATTATGTACACATCAAAGGCTTTAGTGTTCTTTTTATGAACCCAAACTATTAATTTGAATTGAATCTGCATTTTAACAAGATCCCCAGATGATTCATGTGCACATTAAAAATTTCAGATGCATCTTTGTAAGGAATACCAAATAACGAAATTAATTAACTGGTGTCCTTCCTGCAAAAGATTCATAGTTTTACTTTTTATGATACTTAGTTTGCATTCCCAGAGCAAATATTAACTGCCAGTTACGTTCAGGGTGGCTATAGTTAAACGGCAAATTTTCAAAATCACTGATAACTCTCAAACTAGATGCTATCTCTAAAGGAGGATAAACTGATCTTCAGAAGTATGAACGCTTAACGTTCCTGAAGAAAAAGCCTTGACTATTTTCATATTTTTGTCGTCCCCAAAGCATTCTATATTAGCTTACGTCTACATTTTAATGATTAATTGAATAAAGAAATGAATAAAATGCTTCATCCTATTTTTTTTAAGCTTCGCTTAAACGTGTTTTCGTGTGTCTGCGTGTGTGGTGGGGGGTAGAAGCCACGTCAGGTAGGCAACCCGAGGCCTGGCAGGCGGCAGAACTGAGGTGGGCGCGGATCCCCAGGCCGCTCGGACTCGGTGCGCCCACCTAGGGGGCCTGGGCCGGGCTTGCTCCAGCACCTGCTGACGTTCCTGGGGAAGAAGCTGAGATCCAGGCTCTGGAGCCAGCGCAGAACGGAACGAGATAGGCGGGAGCTCTTCGGCAGATGCGGATAGATTACACACTTCTTAGGCTTCCCTCGGATGGGAGCTGCTGGCGGCTGTGGCGAAAGTGACGGTGACTTGGCGAGGGCTGCCGCCGGCAGTGTCAAACACCCTCTTCCCAGGCCGGCGGCTGCCATGTCGCTTTCTGAGTTTCTATGGCAACAGCAGCGGTGGGCGGGGCCTTGATGAGAGCGGGGCGGGGCCTCGTGGATTGGAGCGTGGCCTCGTGGGTTGGGGCGGGGCCGCGCAGGCGCCTTTGAGGCCGCTGCCCGTGGCCTCCCCACTGCCGTCGTCTTGGCGCCCAAGGCTCTGAGCTGGGGGGACATGAATCCCTGGTCCCATTGGGCCTTCACGCGGTGTGGGGAGCTTGTTGGGCGGGGCTTTCAATTTCAGTTGGCCTCACTCTTAACTGGTTCAGAAGTATTATTTCCTGGCTCACAAGTTTTGTGTTTTTAAATATTGTGGGGTTTCTGCCCCAGCAAAGGCCTATTTTCAATCAAGCATTTTGGAGAACTCTATGAGAACGCTGGTGAGGTCAGGGACAGTTTGTGTTTGAGGATTGGAAGAGATGGGTTTTTTCCTTCAAACTGTCAAGGAAAAAACATCTTCGGTTTCTGCCCCAGCAAAGGCCTATTTTCAATCAAGCATTTTGGAGAACTCTATGAGAACGCTGGTGAGGTCAGGGACAGTCTGTGTTTGAGGATTGGAAGAGATGGGTTTTTTCCTTCAAACTGTCAAGGAAAAAACATCTTCAAAATCGAGGTGAATGTTTGTCTACAAAATCTAACATACATATTTCCTTAATTATTACATTATTCCTTCATTAAAATTACATAGTATTTAAAAACCCTGTAGGTTAGATTTTCACACTTCACCAAGATGACCTAGTCTGCATGATTCATTCATTAATTCAACAAATATTTACTGCGTTCCTTCTATGTGCCATGCACTGATCTAGTCACTTGGGACCTATGAGTGAACAGTGCAGAAAAAAAAGATTACAGACTGGGCACAGGTAATTATAAATTAAATATTTACACAAGCAAAATTATTAACAGCAAAAAGAAAAATCACTTCATGTGGAATGTGGCTACACGTTATGCAAGATAAAATATGGGATGGATCTTGACAGTGGTGCTATATAATATTTTGTTGATTGTTTATTCATATATATGTGTATTAATAAAGTAAACCAATGTGACCTGTATATGGTTAAAAAAAAAACATGAAGCTATACAAGTGTTCTCTCTTTGCCCAATTTTTTCGTGATTCATTCATTCTATGAACATTTGTTAAGGAACTATCCTGTGCTATGCACTAGATCTTCACCATCCAATATGGTTGTCACTAGCTGCATGTGATTTAAAGTTAAATTTAAATACATTTAAAAAAAAATAAATTCAGTAACACTGGCTGCATTTCAAACCGCTCAATAGCCACAAGTGGCTATGGCTGCCATACTGGGTAGCACAAATACAGCACTTTTCCATCACTGCAAAAACTTACGTTGCACAGCTGTGCACTATATTATTTATAAGAGATACAATGATATAAATATTAGTGAAAATATCACATATACTGAAAAGCTCTGCCATCTCAAGTGTTACCACCAGGAAGGAAGCAAATATTTGGCCTGGGAAAGTCTAGGAAGTCCTCTCAGGAGGTGACCTTTGATTTGTATCTTACAAATTAGTATTTTAAACTGGTTAAGACACAGGCTTTGGAAGACTGTTCTGTCTTTTATTAGCTATGTGACTTTGTGCAAGTTATTTAACCATTTTTATTTGTAAGATAGGGAAATAAGTATGATAAACATCACAGGGTAGTCGTGAGGATTAAATAAACAAGTTAAATGTGTAAAAAGCCTAGAATAATGTGCAACACAGTGTGCTCAGTAAGTATAAGTTATTCTTTCTAAGATAATCATGGAAATCTGTTGGATGAAAAAGGAGATGGCAGTTCCACCAGAATGACTAATGTGAGCAAAGGCAAAGAGTGGGAGGGTTTTTTTAAAAAATGAGTTTTAGGAAATAACTAATAACCCATTAGGGTTAAAGAAAGTGTTTAGGCATTAGCATGAGAACTAACCCAAGATGTGGCTGATAATGGCTAGAGAGGTAGGTTAGAGCTATAAATTGGTAAAAAATGAGTTTTAGGAAATAACTAATAACCCATTTGAGAACTAACCCAAGATGTGGCTGATAATGGCTAGAGAGGTAGGTTAGAGCTATAAATTGGGACTTAATTGTGAACAGTCTTGCTAAGGAGTTAAAACTTTTTCCTGTAATAAATTGTTAAGTAAATAAGTCTTTGTTGCAAACACACTCGTCTATGCTCTGTGATGCTGGAGTTGGAATTCTGCAATGTGATTTCTCCTTAGCTAAGTATGTGGTAAATTCTGCCAACAGGGAGAACTAGAGAGAGACCAGGAGGCAAAAGGTAGGGAGAAGGGATTTGCTGTTTTCTCCTTGGGTTGCTGTTCTTATCTGTGTCACCACAGCAACAAAGCTTCACCTGGAGGTGGCAGTTGGTTCCAGTCTCCAAATTTTTTTTTGCACTCCTGGAGCAAGTTTCATCATACACCCTCAGAGGTTTTAGCAACCACTGAGAAGCGCTGAGACCCAGATTCTGCTCTGGGACCACTCCCCTGAGCTCTTGACGTATCAGTACCAGTTCGTGTACACCCTCTCCTAGTAAATCTGTCTTAGGGCTTTTCCTCCAAGTCCTCTGTTCTAAAAATCCTAACTTCTTCCCTAGGGGAGGTAATTGCTTCCTGAAGTGTCTATTTCTGTGTTAATTTGATAGTTCCATTTTAGTTTTCTGTTCTTCAGCCTCTGTTTTACCAGTTCTTATATAAAATTCTTGTTGTTGAACATATGGAGTTACTTCTGTTTTCCTGACTGGATGCTGAATGATGCATTGCTTGGTACCTAGAGTGAGTTTTTTTCTATCACTAGCTCACCTACATCTTCCTAAGGCATCTAAGGAACTTCCTTCTTCCCGTTCATCAGGTGCGTTTGCATGATATCATCAATACAGTGCACTAGTGTGATGTTCTGTTAGATGTTAAGACAATGAAAAATCTCTGCCACTCTTGTGGAAGAAAGTAAGAAAATTGATTTGACCTGAGGCCAGATCATGAATGTGTACTATTGATCCTGCTAGATAAAAGCAAACTGTTTTTGTTGGTTATTGCATATTGTTATAGAAGGGGGAAAGTAATTTCCAGATCAATGGAAGAATAATTTGCTAGGGACTGTGGTGATTTATTCCAGTAAAGATACTTCAAATAGAAAACAGCTATAATTGAAGTTACCATCTGATTAAGTTTGCAATAATCCATAGTCATTTTCTAAGACGCATCCAAATTCTGAATAAGCCATCAAAGTCATTATTGGTCTATTGCCTTAGCTCCTCCTTTCTCCCGCTTTGGAGTGTGCTGGCTGCAGAAAGCAGGCATCGACTGTGTTCTGTGCCAGTAGACGCCCTTGTGCTGCTCTGGAGGAGGCTGGCCCCAGTCTAGTTTTACTCACGGGTATGTGGATACATCTTCCTTTTTCTGGAATCTAGTTAGAAGGTTTACTTTGCCTTTAAACTGAATGATATCTTCCAGTATAGACTGTACCCATATTGAGATGATATTTTGACTTCCATCTACATGCCTTTATTTTGTTTTTCAGTTTGATCAGAATTTGGGCAGGAACAAGTACTACTATTCTTGGGTTGCTCCAAAATCCCAATATTTTTAAAGATGGAAAAGAATATTTAAAACAAGAAAGAGATTAAGAAAATGCAGAATAAAATTCACACATTTCTTTTAGCATGTAAGTCTGATGCTTGTCATAAATACTGATAATTTCTTTCTAGATACCAAAATATAGTATTTTATACTGTAAATATTTATTTATTGAATTCTAACATAAATCTTTTATCTCTATTTGTGATCTATACATCAATAGTACATGAACCATAAATTTCTTAAAAATTTGAGAGTTCTAATGATTGTTTATAAAAAAGTTTTTTATGCTATGACATAATCACAATTTAAAATTCATTAAGATCTGCTAGTTTCATCACCTTGCCAAAGGTAGACTTCTACTAACAAGAAAGCGAGTTTTGATGTAAAATCATGAAAAATATGTTATACAATATTAATCTGAAGGTACATGTATTAGTCCATTTCCATTTCTTATAACAAAGTACCTGATGCTGGTTGATTTATAAAGAAAAATGAAATTTATTTCTTACAGTTTCTGAGGCTGAGAAGTCCAAAGTCCATCCAGTTGTGGTGACAATGACCCAGTGGTCTCACATTGCAAGATGGTGGAAGCAGAGAGAACAGAGAGAAAGACAGACTCTCCTCTTCTTTTTAGGCCCTTAGAACCAAACGCTTGACCACCATTTTTAATCCTTTCACTACTGCACGGTCCTACAATCCAATCACCTCTTCAAGGCCCCACTTTCAATTACCATATTAGGATTTCCCACCCTCTTAACAGTCACAGTTGGGTCTATGTTTCCAAAATGTAAAACTTGGGGGATACAATTCAAGCTTCAGGGAGTTTGGGAGGGACATAATCCAATCCACTACAGTACATGAAGTTTAATACTTAATAGACTATTATAGAGAAGTGGAGGACTTTGGAGGTGTCCTAGCCTAGTTGGTCCTATTCTAGAGTCACTCATCCCTAAAGACACTTGAAGGGAGTAATGGTTGGTTGGTGGTGTTTGTCCTTAACCTATTTTCACTATTTCAAAATGCAAAGGTGTGTGGTTATCACAAGGGTTACAAGTGCTGTTGCTGAGTAAGATGCAAGAACTTAACTGTACAATGAAAGCTACACAGAGTAATCAAATGTACATAGCATTAGTCCCAGAAGGAAACAAAACCTTCCCCATCCTTCAAGTTCATGGGAGACGTACCCAACAAACAACTCAGTAATTACCTGATTACGATGAGGAGCCCATCACATGTTAAAGAATCTCTCTTTGACAGCTCACAAAAGTTTTTTTTAAACCATCCCGTTCTCTTTTGATGTTCTGGAGACTCTGGAAATGTACTTTGTGTCCACCAGGTGCAAGTGATTGATATCAGCACCTGCACTTTCCCTAATGTTTATTGAGAATGGAAGAATCAAAGT